AATTAAATAAAAAAAACTGCATTTTTATAAAGCAATGATTCAACTACCAATATATCCATATGCTTCACCGTTCACCGTTCTACGGAACATCGTAAGCAATAGGAACCTAAATAAATTATAATTTATACGAAATCAAATTCTCTGCCTTACAAAATCTTTGTTCATTCTTACATGTTTACTAAGAAGCATAACAAGAAGCTCTATAAGTATCTCAATATAAAATATATCAAAAACTAACTTCAGCAATATAGCAACTTCTAAGATAAAGCAGTTGACTGTGAGAGAGTAATACAGTTCCGAAATTTTCGAGGACAGTTACAAACTGAGTCATACGACCCTCATTTACTGAACATTAATTAAATTAACGCTGCAGTGACTTCTAATTTTTCCATTACAGCAGAGTTTCTTAAACTGTGGGTCGCGACTCCCATGGGAGTCGCGGAACCTGCAGCAGGTGTCGTGACCTCCAATGGAGTCGCGGAACCTGCAGGAGGGGGCCGCCAAAAATTTTAGCAGTTTTGATATTTCTTTATTTTATTATAATAGTTTTACAATTACCAAATATTTTTACACAATGTATCTGAAAATAGATAAGACAATACAGACAAAGAAAAAAAACTAAAACGTTTCTACGCATTATTTTCATAATATAAACGTTCATTTTCCTTGCTTTGCACGTGCTGTCATTTCATCTGTTACTTATTTAAAATTTTCACATTGTTCTATGTCTTAAAATCAGAAATTAAAGTTAATGATCTAAAACTGCAATAGTATATTACAGTACAAGTGAAAAAACTGACAGTTTCACTCACGCGTGTGTCGAATTTGCGCAATCCTTATGGGGTCCCAAAAATTTTCCATAAATATTATGGGATCTTGGGGTCGCGAAAAAAATCTCAGTGATAAAAAGGGGTCGCGACTAAAAAGTGTTTAATAAGCCCTGCACTACAGGATTGTCACAGCTAGCTGAGTGAAAGCGCGCTGGCTTGCAAGGAGCAAGGTCTTGGAGTTGGACCTTACTTGTAACCACTGTAAAATTCAAATTTTTTCCACCTCTGCGAGTTTCGGTTAATAACAAGCTTTTCTAGTTTTTTTAAACTTGTTTTTATATTTAATCATGAATTGTTGTATTATTTTTATCTATTATTATTGTTTCGTGTGTACGGGTTCGTAATAGATTGAATGCATGCATAATCGATGATTGCTTGATAAAATTTATTTTCCCAAAAGAAACACTTTACAGTTTTGGAACTTTCCACAAAAACATATGTACAGTTCTTCGCAGTATAGCAGAGCATAGTCAGCAGTTAGCCCTTGAAACTACTAAGAATGTTAAACACAACACAATACAAGGCGCATCCAAAGAGCAAAGCTCGCCTAATCTCTCAATACACCAAAGTCAGCTATCAACTAAATACTGAGAAACTGATTCTCTCTCCGAGATTATATAGTTTTCCTTTGGCCACCGAGAAATCTCTAGAACCGTCTATTTATCTAAATTACTGTGAGGCATATGTGGTTAAAGCTATAAGTCCCGGATACAGTTACTGTTACATATAGGGATCAATTACAGACACTTAATTAGAGTATCGATTACAGTTATACAGAGACCGGACGCTAATGTTGATAAATGGTCGTCAAGTTTGGCGAGTTTTGGCGATCATCAGATTTTTCAATAAAAATTAGTCACCAAAAGCATCGCCAGCTTGACAATATGTCGCCAAATTATAGCAAGATAGCCATTTACCTCGAAAGTCTTGCCCTGTAATCTTGTTTTTCCGGCAAAACTTCACTCTCTTCCGACTTTTCATGTTAAAAGATATTACAGTTTCATATATAATTTTACTAAATTTATTTACATATATACAAAATTCGTAAGATTGTTATCGTTTTCAATTCTAGTTTAAATATAAACACTATACATAGAAACCAGCAACCCATTATATAATGATATATCTACATGTCTTTTATAAATTACCTCTTTTTTTAACCTCGTTGCATATTTTATTTGCAACTTTTAAAAAATTACCTCTTTTTTTTTACCTCGTTGCATTTTTATTTTGTATATAATTTTGTATAAACTGTCCAAAGTTTGAACCTTGTCTTAAATTCAAAAGTGAGAAGTACGCTTTACTTATTACACAGATTCCTTAACACATACTCCTAAACCACACATAAGTACGCCAAAGAGAGGGGACGAATTATAAAAAAAAAAAAAAAAAAAAAAAAAAAAAAAAATGAAGTTGATTTTATTATATGGTGGATAGAGTTTCAAGTCATTCAATTCTATATACGTACAATATTTCAAAATAATTTTATCAATCTTGATTTGCATTAAAACTTCTTTATGAGTATAAAAACTGTTTAATCTTATTATCTTTAATCTTATTAAACTGCTTAATAAACAAAATTTCACAACAGAACGAACCAAGTGTAACACATTTCTGACAAAACTACGAAACAGCAGATGAAACTCTTTGCGCTTGCAGCCTTCTATGAGTGTCACATGATTTGTTTCTTTCTAATAATTATTTTGGCTACACGCAGACACTGTTCGCGTCTTCGTTTGGACGACTCATCGCCGGGGACGTGCGTTTGTTTCTCGGATTTATGTCGCCAGCGTAGTCGTGTGAAAGCCCCTTCAGATGGTTTGGTTTGGTTTATTTAATTATGGCAAAGCACACTAGGGCTATCTGCCTAAGGGGAGGGATGCCTTCGTGGAGAACTTTCTAAGGAAAACTGGCCCATATACACGTTACACATGGGGAAAACCACAAAAACGTCCATGCAGCCAGCCGTTTGCGGAATTCGAACCTCGGACCGAATTACCAGTGTTCAGCGACTTTACCGCTCGGCCGCTGGTGGGCCCTCAAAATATAAATGAATCAAACAGGATTATTTACAACATACTAAACACTCCGATATTTGGTTAGAATTTAAAATATGTAGTCTCGTTTTTCTCGAAATTAAATTTAAATTCTTACTTAATAAGAGAAAATTCTTTATCCATGATGACTGTAATCTAATTCTTTAGGAAGCAGGGAAAAACTATCGTGAGCTTCCCTAAAAATTCGAACTTGACGAGAGTAATAAGTGATCAACGAGAGGAAAATATAATATGACAGTATAGATTTAGCTAAAAGATTTAATTATTAGAAAAAATAATTTAAATAAACTTTATTACGTTATTATTATGATAAACATTGTTATGGCTATAGCTCTAAAGCATTTGAAGTAAGAATGCTAAATCAAAAATTGGTTAATAAGTACTTTTTAAATCAGATATAATACTATAAAGAATTATTACATTCCTTTTTAGGTGTTTTCATTGTGTGCGTGGTTAATACGTCTAGCTTCCGGGACCCTAGCAAGGACAAGTTGATTTTTTGCATTTCCCAGGTCTGGAAAATCTGTTGATGTCTAGAATATTTTGGGAAATATATGACTTCATCGCACTCATTTAGAAATATAGACTTTATTGTTATATTTTTTCCTCATCCCAATATAATTTTATACCACGTATCTGTGAAAGAGGTTAAAGCAGTTCTAACCCATTCTCCAATAAATACATATATTTAAAACCCCTTCCAATACTAATCTATTTTATAATGTCAGTTTTATTACACGAAATAGTCTTTTTAGTATTTTAATGTAAAAAGTAATAGGAACGGAAGTTTTGACATATGGTTCTCAGCTCTACTATTCAATAATAAAGAATATGTATGTATGCTTGAATGTATGTATGAATGTTCTTAGCATTGTGGAAAAAATGGCGGCACCTAGAGACACTAACTTTTGAGTACGTTAAGTACACCACCCGAATATGTAGCACTTGAAGTTCAAATTTTAATTTTCAAATTTTTATTTATTTGGTATTTTGTTTGAATTAAATAAATTTTTGATTAACAGACTTAGAATTTAAAAGTGAGGAAGGGCAACAGTGTTCGAAATAAAACGCTTTTATCTCCCAGAGGGTTGTTTGGCAAAGTGGAAGATATTTATCGTTCAATTTTAATGAAGAAACTAACTATTTAAAATGTGTTGCCACTGCCAGAAATAAAATACTTTTATCTTCGACGCACCAGCGTCTTGTAATTCATTAAAGAGTAAGATATTTAATATTTAATTTAAATCTGTCTGTTATAATGTTACTATAAATCTTTCTTGCGATCTCTCTCAGGTAATATTGATAGACTTCTGGGATATTTTAACAACTAATGATAGTTTATGTATTTATTAAATATATCTTACAACATAAAGTTTTATTTTATTTTTGTTTTGCATAAAAATCTCATTTCCATATTTCAAAATATTAGTTTAGTGAGGCATATTTTAGGAAACTGAACATAAAATAATTTATTATTTTATTTATTTATCGTATAAAGTAATAATTTGTGATATTAGTGATAGAATTTGAAATTTTTTAATACTAATATTTTTAAAAATTACAAATTATTAGGACTATAAATTATTTTATGCTGCAGTATAAAGTAGTTTGCAATATCAATGAAAAAATTAATACCATTATAATTTACTGCAAGTAAATCACGATTTATTAACATTACAATGTAATATAATTACATTAATACAAAGTAATTTGTAATATTAGAAATAATATTTGTAATTTTATTTACAGTATAAACTCATTCGATGATTTTCTCTTATTTTCTATTTGATTTTGTAATTAATTTTTTATTTTATTAATGTAATACTAGTTTTCATTAAAAAATATTTAATTTAACTCCCTTAAATAGGCAGAAATTATTAAATAAATCTATAATCGCCATTACTGATTATCGGATTCTTTAAGAGGAGCATCTTCAAAGAAGTCCAAAATTGTATGAAACCACAAGCAGTTATCTTGGAAAAGCGTTCGCTATATATCTATTAGCTTCCCTTCTACTGTACGAAGAAAATTAGATTATTTTATGAAATAAAAAATGCTTCTTTGAAGAATTTTATATTTTCATGGATCAATCATGACTTTGTTTTTTTTACAGTGTTAGATGCCAGTGCTAAATTACCATCAGGCGTCCTAGACGGTACACTCAGCGACTTTGGTGAATATGATCAGTGCCTGGAAGTAGTAAAAGAAGATAACCGCAAAAAAGTACAATTTACAGGCCAGTACTGCACTGTAGAAGCTGTTCCCCTTCTGCCGCCTGTGCCTCATCGAGTGCAGTTTAAAACAGTTGTGTTGGACTTTGCAAATTTTTCCCATCCAGATTCTGTAAGTAACAAACATCACATGACTTCCTTGTACGGCCTATTAAATTATAAACATTTTCTGCTGCACTTCATTTAAAGTTATTTCCTCGAATTATTCTAATTTAATTAACCGATTTCTTCAGAAAAGTGGAAAATAACATTACAAATTGCAAATTTTTTAAATTAAACATCGCAGTCAATTTTTGTCGTACGGGGGTCAAACTTCGTGTAATTTTATTTTTTCATAATGAGTATAAAACTTTCTAAAGTATACGTAAAGGAAACGATTAAAAGTCGGATTAAAATTTAGATTTCGTTATTTAGGTAAACTTAATTTTTTTCTTAATTTGCCATTGCCAAAACAAGAATATTTTCGTAATTTAAAACACTTCTGTAATTAGAAGCATATGATTATGGCCAATGAGTGCGAAAATAAAGGCCGGTAAAAACCTGGTAAGCAGGGTGGATGTATACATATATACTTTTAATATTACCGATTGCAATAAAAAACGAAGATACGCAAAGCGATGTTCAAGCAGTCCCACATAAAACATTTCAATGTTCTGCAGATAATCCTGTTTGAATTATGCAATGTATGCATGTACAGATGTCCAGAAAACATCCATTTTTAATTCGATTTCGGAAAACAGAGTCCTTTATTCTGTCCGTGAGTATACATGTCACTTCAAAAATAATCAAAATGGATTCGGGAACGGTCAAAATGGATATGTCCATTGAATTATGATACTCGAAATCTTTCGCGATTACTATACATCTTTTGCTTCGTACAAGGAAGTAAAAACTAAATTAGCTTAGTTAAATACGTTAATAAAATATTCTCTTCTTTATTTATACGACATGAAAATGTTTATGATATGTTATATTATATTATTTATGATACGCTATATTATGTGATATGTTTTCTGAAATTTGCTGAAATTTTTTGAAAAGTAAAAAATATTAGCAACTGCCTTAAAAACAAGATTCTCTGCAACAAGATTAGAAAATTGAGGAAATCTTCCTGTAACACACCATTTCGGTCATGTCCCATATCAGGCATTTTTTATTGAGGTTTACTTATTAATCATGGCTTTTCGGCTTCTCTTTGATAGGGTGGAAGAAAGCGATTCCCATTTCAGCCTGTTCATTATGAATGAACCAAAATCCGAAATCAAGTTAAGGAATCACATGACTGCGCTATATGTATAAAGTGATGTTAGAATAACTTCTTTGCCATTTAAGTCTTAGACACTGCTTAAATAAAACATTAATGACATTCGTGGATTATATTTACAGCAGAAAACATGTTGTTTTTAGAACTTGAGTACAATATAATATTACTTTTTTTTTTCAAACGGAATTTAGATCTTGAAAATTGAAATATCGAAAGTAAAAAATCACATCGAAATAGAATAATGAAAACTTTTGAAGATTTGGCTAACTGTATTAAAAATGCAGTCTTTTGAAGAATCGTTAAAATCGTGAGTGGCACTGCTAACAGAGATTTTAATGAAATAGATTTATTGTTTTATAGACTTATAAACATGTCCTTTTCAATGTAGAAAAAATGTTAAACCATACATAGGGAAATAGATTGGTTACTATCTACCTAACAGAGTTGCGTTATTTTAATCAAACAAACCATGTCTTCCTTTTCGGCTGAAATAGATGTTCTTTATGCACCTTAATCTTCCTAACAACTCTAATTAAGAGGTAAAAATAATACTATAATAAGGGCTGAAATAATACGATTTTTGATATATTCGTCGAGAATATTTGCGGAAGGGAAAAAGAAGCCTGAAATGGCGCGATATTTGTTGCCACCTTCAGAAAGCCTGAATCGGGAAAGCCCGAAATGGGATATCACGAGCATTCCTATTGCATAGGGTTACCAGACGTCCGAAAGTATCCCGCACAATCCAGGATTTTTAATTATGTTCAGCTGCTATCGAGATTGAAGAATATCCGGAATTTTTTAATCAAAGTGACTGACCATCTATTTCATCAGTTTTCCGACTAAAATTATCAATTAGCAGTTTTCTTGTTAAAAATGATTTAGGAATTCTTATTATGCACTGCATGTATATAGAATTTCCAAAATATTTGCTTGGTAGCGTCCTCTTGTGGCTTAAGCGCTATTAAACAAATAAAAGAGAAAATTCCACAGGCTTTTATTATAAGGCTTCCTTAGTTAAAGCCATCTGAATTGATTTTGAAACTTGTGTAAAGAAGCATGTTGCACAGTCATTCACATAATCTCTCCAATAGACATGCAGCAAAGGATTAGAGTCTAAGTTTCAGCATTTTGAGTATTTCTTATCCTTGCTGCAGGATTTCATGTTATTCCTTCATAATAACATTTATTTGTCATACATGCTTGTGTTACGTATATGTTATAGGTTTTCTAATCACAAGAATTTATTTTAGCGGAAAACAGGTATTATTCTCGAAATGAGATTTTGCATCGGTTCACTATACAAGGCATATCACATTTCAGTTTGTTGCCACCAAATGTTATCTCCTTGTATTATGTTTTTAAAAAAATAAGCAAAGAAGAATCTGCCTGTATATATGTATGTTCCTCACTATGTGAAAAAATGACGGTTCAGCCATCCGATTTTGAACGACGTAGTCTTCCACATGAGAAATTAATACTAACTGAATTCATTAAAATCATCTTACTTTTTTAAATGAATATTTAAGCGGCTGACTAATCCATGCAATGAAAAGATTTTTTTAGGAGTCACAGTATCTTTCAATTTAGATATTTATTAAATTGGTGAGATGCTTCATTTCGAATTTAGCCTCCAAAAGAATTACGACTTTTAGTAGTAATTCTTTTGGAGATAGCTAACAATAACCATTTAAGATTACGCAAAAAGCAACCTTATACTACCGTAGATTTTAAATATAACTCTATCGATTTCAAGGGTGATCAGGCATACGTCCCCCTTTTTTAGAAGCCAAAAATAAAACTAGAACGAGATCGGCTGTATAAAGATTATGAGAATTTCTTTGTTTTGCTCCTGAAGAACAGAGTTCTGTATCGAATTGCCCTCGAAATCTATATACTTTTATTCAAAATTTACGCGAGTTTTCTTTTGCCGTTAGATAATCATTTGCTTATAAAAATATAGAAAGTGAACTTCTGAGTTTCAATTTTTGTGAAGGTTTTCCTCTATCATATCATAAGGAAATGACAATGACACATTTAAATATGTATGACAAACTACAAATGTGCCAAGAGAAGAAAGTGTCTTCTTTGCTTTACTACATAAAGCCATACTTAATGTAGTAAACCAACGAAGACAGTCTATTGTTTGTATTCTAAATTTCTATGCTATTTTTTTAACTCAGGGTTAATGTAAAAGGTCAAGTACAGTAACCTTTACGAATTCATTCAACAATAACGTTGGAGGAAAATATCAGAGAGTATGCATTGTTTTAAACAAATGAATGGCGTAGCCAACTAGTGTTAACTTAAACAAACTGTTATTTTGTTTTAAGACTGATATGTACTTAGAAGTAATTCTCCCTCCAAAAAATCGGATTTAATTGCTAGCTCTAAAATCTCCTTTCCCAAACCGGAAAGCAAATCGTTTTCACTAAGTATATACGTTTCTCCTTCTAGATAGTTTAATAAACAATTAATCTATTTAAAAACCTTCCATTGATATTCTGAATTGTTTAAATTTCAAAAATTAAGTTTTTGATAAATAATGTGATCATTTAATTGAATAAAATATTACCATTTCGAAATGAATTTTTTAAACGATAATCTTTCTTGTTTTTTTTTTTTTTTTTTTTTTTTTTCAATACTGTTCTTTTTCTTAATGTAATGAAGAAAAAGGAGTTTAGAGTAAAATTGGTTTCTTTAGGACATAAAATCACAATAGTCTCAATTTTTATATGATACATAAGGAAAGCAAATATGATTTTGCCTGGGAAAATCTTTACTTACATGAATGTATGATTTGAGACTGCTTCTTGCAACATCTAATTACACGCTTGACTCTATAGCAGATTGCTAAAAGCATATATTTGAAGCTTCTAACCAGAATTTCCCAGGATAAGTGCTTAATCTTATATATTATACAGTTGAATGCTTTGCTCTTAATAGAATAAAAAGGTGTTTAAACTTCACAGCAGCGTAGATAAAAATATCTAAAGCTCTCTAACTAAACATATATAGAGGATGATTATATAATTTTAAATCAGTTTAGGGGTCGTTTAATTAAGGTTTAAAATGTAAAGAGTATTTTTATAAATGTTCGACCTTATGGCCTTTCTAATGGACTATAAGTTTTGATTTGATATCTTGTGATTTCCTTGATAGAAGAGCTTTCGTAAAACTTCGGTTTATTTAAATTCTTCTTCCACTAATTTCCGAAGTCCACAGGTCGTGGCGGGTTTGCGCTTAGAAAGAGCTCTTCTCGAGAGACCAAAGGAGCAAAATTCCATATGTGAAATATCAGGTTCCGGAGGAATACTCTGAAAAGGCATATATGGAATATTTGTATCAAATCTTCGTTTTTTCAAGGAATGCAATGGTGCTTTTTGAAGAACGACTATTGCTTAGTCTTAATGAAGTTTCACTCTTTGAGAGTCACTGGGATAACGAAGTCGAATTTCTTCTGTAAATATTGGAAGTAATTTTTCTCTTGATAGTTCGTTGAATAGGTTTTAACACTTTTTCAGCTCTTCTTATTTTTAATTTTCTATTGTAAGAAAACCCAACGATAATTCATAAATTCCTTACTGAAACTTTCTTTGCATTAACAGAGCACGGTTTGTACATTATTTCTCTTCGTTTCCAATAATAAACAGACCTTCTTTTGTTGCACTTATTTATAGTCCATGCTTCATTAAGGCTCACAGTGTATTTCCATTTATCTCTTGCTAAATACTTTTCATACAGGGTTCTATAAATTATTCTGCGTTCAGGCACATGCTTCGGCAAAATTTGGTAATCATTACGTTTTTTTAGCTTTTTAAGCTGTAAATCTTGGTTTAATATTTTATTTATTATTGTTACAGATGCATTTAAAGAAACTGCAATTGATTTCTGCGTCGTCGGGTTTTCTCTTGTTACCAACGAATTTAATTTAGAAACATTAGAAACAGTACGCGCTTTTTCGAGTATTAGTTTGGAGAATGTTTTCCTTGTAGAAGTAATGACTGAAGATTTTTCCCTTTCGATTAGTAATGTTGCTTATTTTGTACTTAGAAAATTTCAATACCTTGCGTTTTACAATGTTTTTGAATTATGTACTAGGAATATTTCTAATCGGAAAGCATCCAAAAATATGTTCCAATACACAGCTAACTTACATGCGATATTGTTATATGTTTTGAAAGAAGCTTCTTGTAATCTTGAAGTTTGTTGCGAAGAAGATGCCATTTTGTTACAAGAATACATTTATGAGTAGCAGAAGATATTTCTCATTTAAAATAACAAGCTGTTTCGAGGAATTTCTGTATCAAAGCATTCGCTTTCTTTTAATTCTTTGTCGAAATCGTTCTAAAAATGTGTAGACACCCTCTGTATAAACTAAATTTATTTTTGGAACTTGCAGAAATTACTACCGAGCAGGCATATTAATCTTAGCACGTACAATTTGTCAAATAGACATCAGTGTGCGAGCGGCAAGGGAAAAAAGAGGCCATTTCGAAACTTAATGATGTATTTAAAAAGTGAATAAATACGTGGGATCATAACTAGTTCTATAGTTTTTAAAAAGCAAAGACAAGGAAATGCGGGAAGCAAATGATGAATATCTGTTGCGTATGAATGAATATCTGCACCTGGCTGCAGTGAGTTATTTGATGTGTGGAAACGCATAGACGCAAAGAAAATGTATGTGCCGTGAAACTGGTAGGCTGTAACATGTGTCAAATTATGATTTGTCTTTTAACATATTTCTTACATTCTAGCATTCGTTAGATTTCGTCAGTTCGAATGTTAATCCTGCTTTAAAATCTTTTCTAGCTATATTTTGTACTTGAAAATTATTATAATCAGTTTATAAATAACGTAATTAATGTGTTAGGTATTTGCCAATATATGTTGGCATATCTGCATTCTTTATTTAAACACCGTCAAAGTTTTAAAAGTCATATAATACTTAAGTTCTTAGTAACTTAAATATATAATACTTTAGTTATAGTTATAAGTTAGTCAAGTAACTTAAGTATTTATATAATAATTAAGTTAGTTATATAATATTTAAATTCTATACTTGCATGTGCGAATACAAATATAATGAAATTCGTATCCTGCAGCATTAACTGAATTTAAAAATGTTTTTTTTTTTTTTTGTTTATCAAAATTAAACTTACAGTCTTTATTTCATGATTCTAGGTGCTTACAGACTTCTCCAAAAATGCAAATATGTTCTATTTGATGACACTCAGACTTGGTCTGTGTCTCCCATCGACTTGCTCTGTCAACGATATTCAAGAAATAGCAAACTTGGGTAAGTAAGTGCGTTAAGCATTTTTATTTCTATAATAAAAGTTCAAAGTAAGTATCATATAATATATTAAATCTGCATCAAAATTTTAATTTACATTTCGAGTACAGCTAAATGTTATCAGCAAACCAATAGCAAAGACTATAAGGAAAAAAAAATTGTGGTGTAGTGAACAGCTTTTCTAACTAGCAACAAAAAACTATTGATATCTAATTATCAACTATAGCAAGGGTAAATCTTCTAAATTTTTGCTTATGAATAATTTCAACTGTACAAATGATTGCACTTAAATAATAACAGAATAAATATTTAACTATTCCTTTAACGTTCAAATTTATCTTCCTTAAAACCACTCCCCGTGTCACAATTTTCTAGCACTTACTGTTTAATACGTTAAGAAGAGAGTATGAAGCAGAGTTTCCAACACGTATATGTGTTCGTAATAAGGTTTACTTGGCATTTAATATTTCATCAGATCCATCTTAAACATTACTAGCATAATTAGTTTTCTGTATTACACAGCGTCATTAAACCAAAAATCTAAGCTAGTAGAAACTTTTTCGTACAGATATCACGGATTAGTATTTTACTATAGTAAGCTTTTGATTAAAAAGCGACTGATTAATGACGGCTTATCTAAAAAATTTTGAGCTTCTTATTGCAGAACAATCGAAAATTACGATAGCAATTATCACTGTGAAACAAAACTGTCAACGGAAAATACAACATTTGCATTATTCGAGTTCGTTTTAAAATTGTTTTTACCAGCATTTATACTTCAAGTTGCTTCGTTTCTAACCATGTTTAGTCTTTCATTATTTACATTTTTTATTAATACTTAATTTATGTAGCCAAATAATTTATCTTCCAGATGAAACTGTTTGAAAATACAAGTAAATAGTTTATAGAAGTTTTTTATTAATTAAAACTAATTATTATTTTTATATGGGTTATTCCTCTGCCTCTGTTTTGTTAACTGCTTTCGGATTAACTATGATTTTGAATAAACTGTGCTTGTCGCCCCTGAGATACCTCAGTTAATGAGGGTTTGACCATATATGAGGAAAAGGGAGAAAAGGATAATTAAGCAAATTAGCTTTAGCATTTAAGATTAATCTCATATTTCTAAAACACCTCGAAGCATAGCAAAATTTGTATATAAGATTGTGGTGTTGCTTAGGAAACAACATACAAAGTTTCCGTTATGTGGAAATTCAGTTGCACTTTTTTTGTGGTGTGTGTTTTATTTGCTTTTCGTCGAAGTGTTGCTATGATTAATAAAGTTTATTTTTTATAAACTTGTCTTCTGCCTTACCACAAAACCCTCACTCTGGTGACTGGCGCTGGACAACGTGCATTCTTCTGATATTTTCGTGTAATTTGGCCAGCATGACAAAGGATTTACGCATCACATACGAAAGATGAAGTATCAGAGGTGAAAATACCCACTTTTATTCCTTTTTATTCATTTCTGCGTTTCACCATGGTGAAATCTACTTTTGAATTAGCGATTTCAAAGGCTATAACAGAATCTAGAATAAAACTCAATCACTGTGTGGCGACCTACCTCTTGACATCACTATGACTGTAAAAGATATATATCATCATTTCTCCTGATAAAACGAATCCATATGGGAAACTAAAAAATGAAGTTTCGCACTCTGTAGTGAAAGTAAATAACAGGAAATACGACGTTTGCTTGCCGATGGGGGCTCGATACCCGCCTGAACTCTTACGCGCTATACAACGATGAGCGGAGAATCATAATGTGGCAGACACGTTTGTTTTGAAATTATTTCTACAATAACTACCTGCGAATGTGAGGTCTATTTTAGCATTAATCACCCCTCTAACCATACAGAAGGCTGCTAAAATAGCAGATAAAATATTAGAAGCATCACCTGCACAGGTAAGCGCTGGTTCTGATTCTTATGCACCATTCAGAGTTATGCTGAGCCCTGAATTGCTTAAAGAGATAAAATCGCTTTGCAAAGAAGTTGCGCTTACAGACTCTTGTCATCGTTTCAGATTAGATAACTTGGTGGCACAATTTACAGTTTTTTTTGGGGGTGTGGAGGGTTAATTAGGCAGGCAATTTAACATTTAATTTCAGATCCTTAGATGGCAGTCATAATTTTCTTTCCTACCGTTATTTTTCCCTTTCAGTATAGAGAGAGGTGTTGTTCAGCTACCGTACACAGATCAACTCTTGTTTTATTTTCCTGTTTTTTCGCTTCCTTAACAAAACTCCTAAGCTTACAATTGGCTGTTGCTACCATTTGTAAACAATACTGAAAGTTTAGAAATTAAAGTTCAAACTGTTCGTCACATTACTCCTGTCGTCTCTTAACAGACATTTGAATTTGATATGAGTGAAACGTAATATTTTAAATAAAAACTAATTTGAAATTCAAAAATTTTAAATATCTTATAAATAACCGCAAACCAAATTAATTATTAACAATTCAGATTGATATTTTGCATTATTACTCCATTTTTGTATTTATTTTGCATATTTCTTTTTCCTTATTTAATTAAATGGACAATTAATTTCATCTGTGATCGAAGCCTTCCTTGAACGAATACGCTCGACTCGAAGGACGTCTATGCTGATGTGTTCTATTCTTGTCTAATAACAGATAACACTTTTCGAAAGTTGTTACCATGAAGACTATGATCAAATAAAACTTCAAATGGCGTTTTTCGCCGCGATTATCGTGCTAAGTTTCATAACGCGTACCGGCTGTCTTAAAATAGTTACCACTACGGGAGCTTGAAGTAGAATCATACAGAAGTTCCGGGTTCCACTATACTATGTCAAGTCTAACCTGCAAAATTTACAGGTTTTTTTTCCGGCTATCATCAATTAAGTGCTGCTAGAAGTGATGCAAAGAGAGAAATGTCGGTGTGGGTCTCGAGAACAGGATGGGAAATGAAGGGAAGCTTGACACCTTGTCACGTAGCGCGTTCCAAGACATCAGATTGCCTGAAGAGACAGCAGGTTGAAATTCTGCAAAAACAGGATACAGACAAATAATATACATTAAAAAGTACAATTAGACAATTTTCCCGTAATCTACGCATAAGAATTCAATAAAAAAATACGTTTGCAAAACAGAATAATACTGGAATGCAGAGAAAATGACATAGTAAATCAGGAGGTGAAGTCACGTGGGAGGCCACCCTCCCAAGTCCAGACCCTAAGCGTTGCTGTTTGAGTCAGCTGCTAGAATACGCGATTCAGATACGATACATAAAAATAAAATTTAATGCTGACTATATACATGTACGATAATGCGTCTGATACAGAAGCTTGGTTCGCATAGACAAAGTAGTAGGGATAGGAATGTGTGTTACCAAATGACACGTTGTCTGTTGAGAACATCTCATTGGCTAAGTAAAATCAAGTGAAAGATGAATTTTAGAAATAAGGCATAAAAATAAAATACTAAGTCGATACAGGTAGTAATATAAAAATTGATACAGGCAGTAATAAAATAAATAGTATAATATTGCCCATTAAAAATAATTATAAGGTGAAAAGTTCATTAATAAATGTCCACAGCTTACATAACGTCAGAAGTACAAAGTCACATGATGGATCATGCATCCAGATGGAGACTATGAGTAATGCTGCTTGAGTTGCGTAAAACATGAGCAGTTCATATGAAATACAATGTAAAAATGCGCACTTAAGATGAAAATAAATGCAATAATGATATAAAGAAAAATATGTACATATAATACAAAATGCTGCGAAAATTTTAAGTATAGAAATCACAGAATCATGGTTCGTGGATCGATGTCATGAGTGGTGGTCATTCTGTCGTGTCTAAGCATTAGTGGATAATGCTTGAGAAATTAAACCCCGAAGTATTTTACGAAAATAAAATTGTATAAATGCAATTAATTACAGCAAGTGTCCAATACTAAGTAGTTAAATTTCGATTTCCGCTAAGCAGGGAGGCAGCAAAGGTTCTCAAATGCTGATCTTCAGTTAAAATTTCATAAAGAAATAATTTAAAGTGATTCAAGAAATCACAATCCATGGCGTTATTGAAAAACTTTTTATCAGCTTTCCGTAGATAATTTTCCAGTGGTTCAAGTTTTAAGTCCTCATGAAAGAGTTCATTCTTAAAACAAGTAGTATGCATTCATAATAGTTCTTAGAAACTGGTTTTGCACAATTTAGAATTCTTTAACATCTGCAGGATTTGCGCGGCTCAGGCTAGAGGATCAAAATAAACTACGGGACAAAAATTTTATTTCACGTTAGTGCTGCCCTCTATGAACAATGCTTTGAACTAATAAATTAAAAATTCGTTATACGTTAGTTCTTCCATCTAAGAACAAATAAGTAAACTAAATTTAACTAAATTGTAATATCTAAAATATTCTGTTTAGCTCTACTGCTCTCATCTGTGGCGAAATTGTAGGCTATTAAGAGAAGTCACCTAAATCACGTGATCCTTGACAAATGCTTCTAAGAAAGCGCAGAACTTTGTTCTGTTTAGGGGTTGTTTAGGGGTTAAAGCGGACGAAACGTCCGCTTTAATAAATTGCGTTTTAATCTGCATTAATTAGATGTATTATTAAAATTGTGACGAAGTGCGTTTACTGCTTTAAATAATCCAATTTATCAATTTGACTGATTAAGAGACTCATTGAATTTGGAAGATAAATTAAAAGTCTTAGGCTTTGCCAATGGCAGCATTCTGAAAACTAATTAGGCGCGAGGGTACATGAGAGATAAATAATAAGTTTAAAAAAAAAAAAAAAAATTCAAGGTGAAATATAACCGAACGCGATTTCTTATGCAGAAATTTTGCTCTCTTACAATTTTGCATATGTATACTTGTTTGAAGAAGGAAATGGCCTGGTTGTTGTAATAGTTGACATGAGAGTTATTCGCAAGTAAATGCATGGATAACTTATATTAAACATGGAGAAATGTACTAAAGTGTATGGGGAGACAATGCACAGATACATAGAAATATAATCTACGCCTTTATTTATTTATTGTTTTAGGTCTGAAGGACATGCCACTGAATGCTACTGTTGTGCGCTGCGAAGTAAAACAGCCATTCGAGGTCACAAATCTGCAGCTTGCTTCCATGTAAGAAAATTATATTTAATAATTATTTTATATATTTAAAAATTACCATAGGCATTTATTGTTACAGCATTTAATTTTAATTTATACCTTTCGCAAAATTCAATAAAACTATTGTAATATATTTTCTTGATTGAGGTGAAGTAATATTTTGAATTTGATGTATCACAATGCCGTGCATTTAGGTATTGTACCTACAGCAAAATAATGTTTAGGCTTCCATATGGATAGTTATTCCAAATAGGAAAACTATTAATAATTTTTTTTTAATTTATCTCCTTCAAAATAATCGGCAGAAAAGTCTAGACTGTTTTTCAACGTTTCTTCAGATCATTTAAACGGGCGTTGAAGATAACCACTCGCAAAATAAGCGTAACATTTTATTTAATATCCGAGATGTTTTCAAATCTTATCCTTTCATGGCCAGCTTAACTTTCGGGAAAAGCAGAAATTCAGCTGGCGATGAGTCGGGATATTATGATATGCAATTTATCACCTCAAATGAAAGCTTGCGGAATACTTGTTGTACCGATAATGTTGTATGGGGGCCTAGCATTATCGCGTAAAAGAAACCTTTGCTCAGAATCAATGTTCCGTCCTAACTCACGTAACCCTGTTATTTAATGGAAAAAGCATGTTCTGGTACAAATACTGATTAATTGATTGGTTTTCAGAGACAAAATCATGGTGAATATGTCCTTTGTAATTCAAAAATACATTACCTTAGTTTTTGATTTCGACATCTTGTTTTTTTTTTTGGGGGGGGGTATGAGAGAACACAGTTCTATCCACTATGTACTTTGTTTTTCGTGCACTCATACATTTGTGTTCTTGATAACGATGCTGCATCACCATATACCGTTGGAATCATCTCTAATGTTTCGGTAGCAAATTTGCTTAATTTGTAACAAAATTTAATACTGTGACAATGTGTCATCTAGAACCAAATATTTTTTAACAATATTTTGTCAGTAAATGAAAATGACTCCAGAGTTTTGATATGAAAAACAGTTTAAAATAGCCAATTTAAATTGACTTTAACAAGCTATAAAGTGTTACACTTTCTAAACATACATTCAGCGTTTTATTTTAATCTTTGATTTATTAGCTTGTTCTCTTACTTTCTCGAGGCACCTAGTGTTAACGCTATAGTATGTTAGCCAGATCCTTCAGATACATTTCTTTCTTTTTTTGCGGGAGAAAACATTTAATATACTCCAGTATACCTAAATATTTGCATTTATTTATTACATTTAGAACCTATTTGAAATTTAAACGTATTGCAGATTTTTGATAAAACATTTCGACGTGTTTATAAGCTTTAAGTGGACCGCCATTATATATCAGGGTATTTTTCAAGTTTTTCTATTTGATGTTTATATACATGAATAGATCTTCCTAAGTAAATAAAATTTCTAACCGATAAACGATTAAGGGTTGAAATTATCAAACAGAAAGATACAGTGAAATTTAGCGCAACATATATTTTTACCAAAACCTCGATACAAAGAATCTGTCAAATTAAAGACTCCACATTTAAATACACTCATGTCCATAAATTAAGAATAATTCGGAGTCACGCAGAAATCGAACTCTAAAATAAATATATTACCTGTAAAATCACTACACACATCTTCAAGAATCATATGCAAATTTCAGGAAGTAACCAGATGACACCGATGGTACGTCACAATTACTAGAGTGTAAAGAGAGTGATATATAAGGAATACAGGAAAAGAAGTAAAATTGTTCGCAGGCGCTTTATAAACATCTCAGTGCAATAACCGAATAGTTATCACACAAAGGACGCATTTGGGATGATTTTTTATGTGGTAGAATTATCGGCCGTCTGGAATGTGGGCGTACCCAACTGGAAGTATCAGACGAACTTGGAATTGCCCAGAGTGTCATCTCCAGGCTTTGGCAACGATTCCAAGATTATGGTAATGTGAGTGGAAGTTACAGCACAGGTCACCCCAGAGTTACAACGCCGAATGAGGACCGGTATTTGGCAGTTACTGCCAAAAGAAACAGGCGGAGCACAGCCTCAGACCTATCTCGTCAGCTGTCTTCAGCCACTGGTACCACAATTTCAAGGCAGACCGTGTACAGACGCTTAGGGCAGATTGGTCTGTATGTTCGTAGACCTGTCAGATGCGTTCCACTTATTGAAACTCACTGTCGCCTGCGGTTAGCCTTTAGTAGAGAGCATGCATTGTGGACACCGCAACAGTGGGCTTGTGTGATGTTTTCCGACGAGTCCAGGTTTAGCTTGCAGTCTGATTCTCGCTGGACTTTCATATGGAGAGCTCCAGGTACCCGTTACCACCAAGAAAACATCATTGAACGACATCGTTACGGTGGTGCAGGAGTTTGGGGTGGAATTATTCTGTGTTCCAGAACTGACCTGCATGTTCAAATTGGAATCATGACAAGCCAAATCTATCGGTACGTCGTTCTGGTATAACATATACGTTTGTTTCGGGGCGCCATGGGCGCACAATTAGGGTTTATGGATGACAACGCCCGTCATCACCGTGCAAACATCGTAAGCGAATGCCTTCAATCGGAGAATATCACCCGTATGGACTGGCCAGCATTCTCCCCGGACTTGAATCCAGTAGAGCACGTGTGGGACATGCTTGCCCGACGAGTTGCAGCCCGTCAACCTCCTCCTACATGTCTACCGAAACTTCGGAGAGCATTGCTTTTTGAGTGGTGTAATATCCTCCAAGATCAGATCGATAATTTGATACTCAGTATGCGTAGGGGTTGTACAGACTGTACATACAATGTATTAACAATCATACCTACCATGTAATATTGGTTTTTTGTAAATAGTTTTTTTTTTTTTTTAAACTTGCTCCAGGGAGAAAAATCGCTAATTTTTTTAATAATATCAAACATATAGCATCTTATTTTGCTCTTTACCTTTTGTTTAACAAATAAGCTTTACAAATAAGTCAAATTTGTTTTGCTTCTAACTCTTCCTCTGCCTGATTTTGCATTATCCTTAATTTATGAACATGAGTGTAGTAAATATGTATAAAACCTTGACATAATGGTTTGCTTTAATATTGAAAAATAATTCAATTTTTCAATATTAGCAAAATTAATTTACGCCTAAACGTGCATTTTTTATTTTTGTTTTTTTCTTGCATTTTTTTTCCCTTAAAGGTGTAAAACTTTAAGGGAAGGTGTAAAACTTTTTGCATCTAAATTTCCGAGGATTAAAGACAGCTATAAGCTTACCTGAGACTCTGATGCTTCACGGCACATTCACAAATTTGAGATGTATATCTTTATGAAATCTAAAATGCAAAAAATATATGGAACCTCAGTTGCTTATTTTGCTTTTATTCGATAATGCAATTTCTAAGCATCTAAATTCATTGATTAATTTTACTTAAATTTATGAAGAACAGAATGAATTGAATTTTTCAATTTAAGGTGAATTTTTAAAGGCATTTGAAAATTTTGAGTGAATTTTTAAATTAAACTTTAATTGTTTATGCCTAATTAAGCTCTTTAATAAACATATTAAACTTATATTAGACTTATTGGGTACAAGGTTAAAATTTTTACGCATCCACGAATAAGCTGCGGAAAAGTAGTGAATATAGATAAAGAAAGGTCTATTAGCAAGTTAATTTTCTAATTTTAAAACTCCCCCAGTATACGTTTTGTCCAATACCAGCTAAATTGTCTAAAGTTTTAAATTTAAATTATCTTTTCTAAGTTTTTAAATATTAAAACTTTAGAAAAAATAGTAGTATTTAAAATTTCTTTCAAGATAACCATTTAAAAATTATAATAAAACAAAAGGGAAATGCACTAATGTGTTCCTATATGTTATTTCTATGATTAGGTTAGGTTGTTCTGATATGCCAAAGCACAAAACGACTCTCTGTCTAAGAGGACAGATGCCTTCGGGGAGGAATTTCTAAAGGAAGTTTTCTCGATTCGGGGGGGGGAGGACCACGAAACACAGCCCCACGCGTAAAATTACCATTATTCACCTGTCTTAACTCCTCAACCATTGGGAAGGAGGCATATTATTTCTATGAGAACTGCTCCATTGGAAAAGGATTCTTAGGAATAAATTAATTAATATTAATTAAAGTACGTACTCATACGATTCGCATACAAGAATTTCTGACCTCACCTTAAGCTTATGTATATAATTTGTTCTTTAAATATTTAAATGCACAACGATTACTTTTCTGTTTTCAATTATTTTCTTATGCAGATCTTTTGAATTCTAGTTATTAACGTTTCATAAATGTTAATATCTGCTTTTTTAAATTTTATTGGATTTACTTAAAGTAACTCGGTCTAGTCCAAAACTGGATTTTAACGTAAAGCCAGAAGTTACTTATTACATATTTACTCTTCTTTTACAGGTGCATCATTGGAATTATAGTTGTACTGGCAATAATTGGCACCTATTTAGATACCAAAACTCCCTGGACATATAATTCTTTCACATGTGTCTCATCTGGTATGAAAATTAATCCTTTCCAGAATGAATTTTTCTAAAAAATACATTAAAAATTTAGTGCTAAGTTTTAAATTCATGCTACAGCGTCGTTAAAAACTTTCGATTGTTACCAGTTTTTGTTTAAAGCATTTGCATTAAAAGGAAACTCAAAAGCAATTTGTGTCTAACTGCTAAAAATAGTTTTTCATAAATGCTAAAGTAAGAACTGGTGTAACGCGAGCAAATTTGCAGAATTATAGTTTCGGAGGTTAAACTAAACTTTTTCTTTAGATAAGAGAATGAAAATGACGAAAACGAAACGTGTGCCAGGGCAAGAACAGTAGAACAAATCTGGCAATGTTTTCTAGTTAAATTACGAAAACGAAACCCCTAGTTAGCCATTTCCTGCTGCTTACTGTTGGCTGCTTTTATAGTGACGATGCTACACATATACCCGGTTCTCATACGAAAAAACATTTCACGCAATTTTCATTAAATAATATTTCAGCTTCATCATAAAAATGCCGTCTTTCTTATATGCCGAAAATTCTGAAAAACAACAGCTAAATTTAGGAACAATTGATTGTAAAATTCGTATCTAAGATGTGGATTGATAACTGCCGGAATACTACTTTTATGTAAATGCTTCTTGAAATTTTGAACTATTTTTACTTACAGTTTATTTATTATTTTTGAATTTATTGATATTTTAAATATTAATTTATCTCCTTGGATTAAAGCATATATACAGAGGCTGTTCGCACATTTTAAGATGATTTTGCTTTGCTATAAAAAGAAAATCATCTGCTTGGAATTGTTTTAACTGCAACTATATATTTGAAAGTATAAATTTTCAAATACGGTCATTTGTTCCTACATTTAGCTACTGTTTTTCAGAATATTCGGTATATAAGAAAAGAGGCATTTTTATTGTGAAGTTGAAATATTATTTAATGAAAATTGCGTGAAATGTTTTTTTCGAATGAGTACCGGGTATATGTGTAGCATCATCACTATCAAAGCCGCCAACAGTAAGGAGCAGAAATTGGCTAACTAGAGGTTTCGTTTTTGTCATTTAGCTGGAAACATTGCCAGATTTGTTCTACTATTCTCGCCCTGGCACACATTTCGATTTCGTTATTTTCATTCTATTAGCTAAAGAAAAGGTTCAATTTAATCTCAGCTAATTTTAAATTGTACAAGAAGATAAATATATATACATATGTACGTAATATCATGAGTATTTTTTGTTTAATGCTAAATACAGTTCATAATAACTAAAACGTTTCAATGAAACGTTTAACTCCTTTTCGTTTTCCTTATTTCATGCTAGTGTTTACGTTTATAATCAAGACATTGTTGCTTCTTTTATAAATTTATATTTTATAGCCTACTAACCTATGCTTCTGCTTTTAGGATTGATAGCAGACAGCTTGAAGAGTTTTTCGATCAATAAGAACTTAGAGAAGCTGTTCAAGATCAGTCAATCGAAAGAAAATTTTGGGGTTCTCAATGGCATGCGAGTCTTGTCTATGGTTTGGGTTGTTCTGGTGCATACCTATGGTTTCAGCCATAAGCAGTCGTTCTGTAAGAATTTTTATCACAGCAATTAATAACGTTTCTTTTTTTATTCAATTGAACCATTTTCATATTTTTTTTATCAAATTAGTTATCAGTATATTTTTGCAGTCGATAATTATTTTACATCTTTTATGTAATACAGTGTGATCTTTCGATACTAAGTAGTCAAAAATACATTGATTACCCTATAGAGGGTGTTCCAAGATGTTGCACTGCTAAATGTCTTTTAGAAAACCAAAAACCATTCAAAAAGATAAAAAATAATTAAAGAATTGAACAATGTAAGTAAATTCTCTAGTATACTTTCGAAGTCAGAAGTAGTATATTCTTGACTTGCGAACGGGAAAATTAGGCGAACAGAAATACACGTGCCTATAGAATAACTTTTGACAATATTCTGAGCGAATTATAACAAACAAAAGCCCTGAAGACTCCTATATTCAGTAAATGTGTTGAAATAAGTCATGCATTTTACGTTATGCAAAATGAAAAAAAACAAACTGTGTTGAAACACGTTATGCAAATTTAAAAAAATGTATTTAGTATATTAAAAATAAAAATATAAAATCTAGAGATGGTGAGCTCAGTTTTCAGGGCCTTTATAAATACTTTTTAAATTTAAGTAGACATGAGGAGTAAAATAAATTTTGACATAAATAAAATATAATTTCATTGTTTAATTTTGTTCAAAAGTGTTTTCTTCCCTTCAAAGAAATAGAAGCGTTTATTTTTTTTCATTTGCATTACACATTTGGGGCCCACCAGCGGCCGAGCGGTAAAGACGCTAAACACTGGTAGTTCGGTCTGAGGCTCGAATCCCGCGAACGGGCTGGCTGCATGGGCGTTTTCGTGGTTTTCCCCATGTGTAACGTGTATACGAGCCAGTTTCCCTTAGAAAGTCCTCCACGAAAGGCATCCCTCCCTTTAGGCAGATAGCCCTCGTGTGCTTTGCCATAATTAAATACACCACACCATTACACATTTGACCTGCACGGAGGGAGAAACTACTCTGAATGCTTGCCTAGGATATGGTTAGAATTAGACTGGATATTTCGATTTCTATTGCAGTTTTATAAATCACACAGGACTTAAATCAGTTAATCGAACTTCAGTAAAATTAATTAACAGCTTAGAAATAAACCTTATTTTAATAAAAATAAACATTTAAAGGTAATTAGCATTTCTTAATTTTTAATTAACATTACAAGTGTAAATATAGTTCTTTAATTTTCACTTTATTCGAAAATGTACTTTTTGACATCTTTTAAACTAAGTATTCTTCCAGTAAAATACGTTAAATAGCATTTTTCCATTCTCCAGATGCGTTCACATCAAATATCTTAAATAACTGTCTTACTTTTCTAGATTTATTTATATATTTTATTTCTTTTTCAGCTCGAATGAAAAACGCGCAAACTGCTTTGGATGAAGTGACCTTCGGTACAATCATTAATGCATGGGTCATTGTCGATACATTTTTCGTGTTAGGGTAAGAAAATCAAATTATCAGATATAATGTGAGAACTATATGAAGGTTGTTTTAAAATATTGTTAAATCTTGGCACAAAATTTAACAGAAGATTGGTAAATGTACGTAACCTGCGTAAATGTTATATATATCATGAATTTTTTTAATTTTCATATATACATTTATATAACATTTTATATGATCGATAATTATAGTTATTGCTCATATAAAAATAAAAATTTTATATTTTGTTAAAATAAAAACTTTTACATGAGCGATAATTATAATTATCGCACATATAAAACTTTTTTAACTACAAGCAAAACATTATGTTTAACTCATATTTGCTTTTAAATGCAGACTTTTGAATTATGCCATTCTACTTGAAAAATAATTATTAGTTCCAGCATCTTTTTCTAAACAAGAAAAATGGCACAGTTTAAAACTTTCAATTATATAATCTAAAAAGCCATAATTTCTAACGCTCGCTGACGAATGTAAAAAGACCACACATTTTAACATTCAGTTTACTTTGCCAAACAGTAATTAATTTGTTAAATACTGAAAACTTTTAACAAGATATATGGCAAGTTAAAATAGCATAATTTTAACTTATGAAATTTTTACATTTTATGTAAAAGTTAAAAATACCTACATTTAATATTCAGTTATATAAGTCAAAATGTCATAGTTTTAACTTTTGGAAGTTTTTACATTTTACATAAAAATTAAAATACCATAGTTGTAACTTTCTGGAAGAAAAAAATGCTGAAAATGATATAATGTTTAGTACTTATTCTAAACATGTATTTTTGTTTATTAATTACGAATTTATTATCATAGTAAATATCCATTATTTTTATGTGACTGCAAGCGTCATCTTCAAGACATTACCTTTTAATTCGAGCAGTGCCCGGCCGTTGGACTCTTCTGAAAGAAAATGGGATTACTTCTTTAGGTAGTGGGAAAATATTACTCCAACATGTATGATAATTTCTAACTTCTGAAAAAGAATAAAAACTTCTCAGTGAAACGTGAGATATCAACCTTGCTTTCGTCGGGATTGAAACTCTGGTCCTTCCGACTACTACCCGGACATGTTTCCAATTATACAACGAAATTCCTTATATTCTCCTCAACTTGAAGGGTGAATGAGGAGGAGGGAACTGAGTCGTGAAATCCAGGAAGCAACGAATATCGTCCGCTGCATTTTAATTGGGGCATTACTTGTAGTATCATTTAAAATTTTTCTGAATCAAGACACATAAAAACTCAGCAATGCCCTCGCAAGAATTCGATTGCGGGCTTGCTTCTCGATGCCAGTTGCATAGTAATAGCACGCAGTGAAGAAGTAAAGACTCTATCCGGGATTAATGCTATGCATTGCAAGCAACGCGGGCCATGTGGGCCTCTGGAGGGTGGTTATCTGGATAGTGCGCCAGGACAATACCTACCTTGTCTATGGTTAAACAATGTGTGTCCACCACAGATCATTATATCCATATCCATATCCTTGCATGGTTAAGGCACTTTTGTAAAAATTGTTTCCAGATTGAATTTAATATATGAATGTAAAACTTTAAGCTTGAATTAGGTATTATTTAATGGCATATATAAGATTGAAATTTATCAAGATTTAAGATTGAAATTGATTGGCAAAAAGGGTGCTTTAATCATGCAGAATATCTCTCGTCCTTTGCCTTTTCATACTGTTAGGAACCTTATTAAAAGATCTTATCAAAGTACGTGCTTAGGAAGATATCTATCATCGTGTTTCTCATAAGTCTTGGAAGAATGCTATCCCGAATTTGTGTAATGGCCCAAGGCGTAGAGTGGTCGCTGAATTCTGCCTTGCCACCGGACATAACTGCCTACAATATCATCTTCATGGATTCAAAATTGTTCCTTCCCCGATATGCACTCTGTGCAGCTCTGGATAGGTGATGGATACAGCACATCTACCCCACTGTCCTGCTCTGCGCAAGCCTTTTCTCGCCGAGCGTTACTGGGCGGCAAGAGATACGTTAGATTAATGGACTCTGTTGCAGCTGTTTTTTTTCTCATCAGGTGTTTTAATCATATAACTAAACCTCAAATGAGTTTTAGATCTTTGCGTGTCTGCACTCTTTACTTGATTAAAAATCACTGTAGGTTAGGCTACAGTGTAATTTTGCGTCATCATAACATAACAGAAAATATTGAAAAAAGAATAGAAAACTGGAAAATTACTCTTTTCTATTATAGCAATGAATAATTTTCTCTCTTCATCATAATGTATTTTCTTTTTACCGATATACAAAATTTGAGGAGGATTAAAATATGGGAAATATGAAATCAAGAATGTGTCATTTTTCAATTTGAAAAAAAGCCGTTATCGTTTTTATATATTAATTTTTTACACATAAACTACAATGTTCATTTTTTAACAAATTTACAGGAAAAACTTCTGTTCTTGGCAGCATTAGATTACATGAAAAATATTATTATAAACAATAAAAGCCTCTCTGACCGATACAGTTGCTAGCGCTGCTAGTTTCTGTAACGTTGAGCCCGGCACTGAATTTCTGAAAACGCTTGGATGATTCAAGTCTATAATGACTGTGCGGCTTGGGGACACCTAAAATACTAGCGATTCGAAATACCTCTCAAATGGTCTGTCTGGTGATAGGGAAAAAGGTTTGGGGCGCTCCTTATCAAAACAAAGATGGAACTTTAAAACCGCAGCGGGAAAATTAAGAGCAACTTTGGGGTGCACCGTAGGCAATGTTGTCGATGACCAGATGGTTAAACGACCGATTGGTATTGGCCATTCCTGACGAATGCAATTAAGTTGCAAGCGTCCGGACATCTGAAATAATAAAAGTAATAGATGGTATTCGGTACTGATTTTATTCCAGTAAAGCTAAACACCCTAATGGAATAAATTATTCAATGTTGTAATCGTTTTTTTAATTAATTTCATCTCTTTTTCCAGAGCATTTTTAGTCGCCCATTCTAACTTGAAAACACTGGAAAAGGATAACGGACGGCTTAACTACCTTCGATATTATGTTCATAGGGTATGGAGGTAAGATAATAACTTTATTTTAAGATTATATCTATTTTTAGAATGCATTGTATCCTCAACTCTAAACATGGCGCATTCGTTTAAGATATTTATATCTTACTAAATTTCCTTATATTTATAACCATTTTGTCTTTAAAAACTCTTTTTTTTCAACGTAATTAATGTCTATGTTACGCGAGCAAATAGCTGAGAATTCAAATACCTGAGATTAAAATACACTTTTTTGCAAAAAAATCGAAGCACCATAAAGGAAGTGATTGTTTTTGATGAAATTTAATATATGTATAACTCATACACAGATAATAAAATGATTAAAAAATCAAGGTCATAGTACCTGTTAACGGCTCTTAATCACCCACTGAGTGTTCAAATTAGTAGTTGGTCGAACCGCCCCTTGCTTGAATTTGTCGAGGCAAGGAGTGGTAGAGGTTCCTAATGTCATCCTGCGACACATTCTGCCAGGTATTCATCAGTATTGGCTCCAGATCTGCGATATTTTGTGGTGCGCGAATTTGGCGACTTACTATGTCCCAGACATGCTCGCTTGGTGAAAGGTCTGGTGACCTTGCTGGCCAAAGAAGAGTATCACCCGCACGGGGACAGTGCAGAGATATGCGAGCGGTAAGTGGCTTGACATTATCTTGTTGGAAAATGGCCCCAGGATGACCTAGCATGAAGGGTAATGCAACCGGCCGCAGTATAGTATTAACATATCGTTGAGCTGTTAAAGATGTACGGAGTACTAAGATGACCTGCTGTCATAAGAAATAGCGCCCCACACCATCACACCAGGATTTATAGCTGTATGCCTTTGCAAAACAAAAGCTGGTTGGGACCGTTGGCCCCGTCCTCTGCAGACATGTACACGGTGGTCATCTGCTTCAAGTGTGAAGGGGGATTCGTTGCTGAACACTATACGATGCCAGTCTGATGGGAGCCATGATAATCGCTGCTACACGACTGCAGACTACTCCGCTGATGTTGTGGGGTCAAACGCAAATATCTAAAAGGCCTCTATGCGCATAATCCGGGCTCAGACAAACGCCGTGAGATGGTGGGAGATGCCACGGGAGGTGTAGACGTGGCTGTAGTGCATTGAATAGTCGACAATGATACCGTTGGGGTAGTTCGGGCCTGGCGAGCAATCATCCTATCTTGTGCTCCTTGGCCTTCCAGAGCCTTATTTCATCGGCAATTTCCTTGCAGCAACCATTGCTGCCAGTATCTTTGCACAGCAGTGTCTGTACGCTACAGGTGGCAGCCTATTGCTCGGTATGAGCACCCAGCTTCACGCAACCCTACAATGGGACCACGTTCGAAGTCGTTTAGTTTTCTATCACTAGATCTACAACAAAGAATTCTGGCTGATTACCCCAACGAACAGCACTTTCTTGCGGGGGACTTTAATGCGCATTCTGAAACCTGGGGATATTCACATACGGATCTGAGAGGACGTGTAGTAGAAGACTTTGTGGCAAGTAATGATCTATCCATTCATAATGAGCCTGAATGCCTGCCTACGTTTGAAACCGTTAATGGCAAAGAGTGGCCGGATTTAACGCTCCCATCTGCAGCACTGACCTCAAAAATAAAAAATTCGACAGTTGAGGATTCCAATACCATCTCAGATCACAGGTACATTACCTACAGTATAATGAAAGGCTATAAGAATAAGCATGAAAGGCTATAAGCTTACCAGAAGTAAAACTACTCAATTTTCTATGAAAGCACGTCCAATCCTAAATAGATTGTTAATGGAGCTGCCAGACACCATAACAGTCAAAGACGCGGAAGAATTGACCAATAATTTGATCACTGACCTCCAAATTATCTGTTGACAGCACCTTTGCGCTGAAAACCCCCAAAATGCTACACGCTGCAAACTGGTGGACCAGGGACCTCAGAACACAGCGTAGCCGTACCAGAGCTATGCGCAGGCGCATGAAAGCAGAAAAGAGATCAGGAAGCTAGACAATTACTATCCACAGAAGATAATAAAGCGCAGGCCAAGTATAAAAAGGCCATATTACAGGCCAAATTTGAAAGCTGGAAAAAATTTTGCACTGATCATAAAGACAACTATGGGACTCTGCACCAAAAATAGCCAGCGAAAAGGTTTTTAAACCGACTCTACATCACACCTTTCATGGTCATGCCTATGGAGAGTCAGGTATTATATTATGGAAGCAACCATAAGAAGAATCCTAGATGCGGTTTTTCCCTCAGATTAGGATGACACATCAGACTTGCAATTGCATCTGGCGTTCTCACTTATATCAGGCACTCCAAATGATGTACACTGCTCAAAAAAAAAAAAAAAAAAAAAAAAAAAAAAAAAAAAAAAAAAAAAATGGCAGGACAGTTGCTATATCTCCCGTTCTACTGGGCCGATCTGACAAAATTCAAACTACGTTTTTCATGTCTCGAAAGCGCGACTTAGGATATATATTAGATTTATATATAGTACTATTTTAACATAGGTATTTTGACACAAAATCGGACTTTTTCTGAAATAATATACCAATATTTTTTCCATATTTCTATTCTACGACTCAAATTACGCCAGAATACCAAGTTTTGTAAAAATCGTACGAACAGTTTTCAAAATATTAGCTCTCAAAATTTTAGCTCCTCAATGTTAATTGAATTTGGCAAATATTTATTAATATCTCTTCTTTTATTAAACTTTTTTGATTTTTTCTCTCACATTTCGAAATTTTGGTTCATTCCAAATAAAATTTACTCATTTTTTGCGTTTTATTTTTTAAATTTCTATTTTTAAATAATTTCTATAGATTTTTCGAAAAAAATTTGAATTATAACCTATAAAATTTTTACCATCATCTTAAAGGCCCACCAGCGGCCGAGCGGTAAAGTCGCTGAATACTGGTAGTTCGGTCCGAGGTTCGAATCCCGCGAACGGGCTGGCTGCATGGGCGTTTTCGTGGTTTTCCCCATGTGTAACGTGTATACGAGCCAGTTTCCCTTAGAAAGTCCTCCACGAAAGGCATCCCTCCCCTTAGGCAGATAGCCCTCGTCGTGTGCTTTGCCATAATTAAATACACCAAACACCATCATCTTAAAGTAGGTGTATTTTTAAGCATATCTCTAAAAAATTAGACTTTTTTATTCAAAATTTTCTAAGATATACAAGAATTTACATAATTTCGTGTTTTGAAATTTGGCACCTTTTTTTTTGAGCGATAATAACGCCAAATGTGGTCTATGGATATTTGTTACACTGAATTGCCACAGCTATTTTTAACCTTAAACTTCAAGTAAAATTTTACGCAAAATTAATTATATGACATTTTTTCCCTCAATGATGCGTAATAAATATTTATTAATACTATATGAAAAGCTATTTTTTTTAAATTATAGATGATATTATTCAAATTTTTAACTATTTTTTTTTAATTTCTCTCGTATCTTTCTTTTTTTAAAAAATTTAAGAGTAAGTTTTTGTAATAGTAAATTTTTACCTTCGGCGTTTTATCGTCTGCTACTTTACTTCGTTTAAATCGAATTGTCTAAAACTGAGAATTTTCGTTTGATATTTATTTGAATTTTATGACATTAACTGCATAATTTATTTCTAAACAAAATGTTGCTTTTGAAGTGGCTGAAAGAGCGGCTGATACTATTATCCATTTTTTTAAAGCACAATATATTTTTATAGAAAAATAATTTTTAGAATAATCATTTTTTATAAAAGTCAAATTATGATATAAACATACAACCCTCTAGAGACTGAATTAATGGAAGTTCAATGGTTATGTAGAAATGTTCTGCAGCTACTTAATGGCTGGATAAGTCAGCAGATTCTGTGGACAAGCAAGAATAATTATATAAACGACACCAACATTCTGGTTTCAATAAACAACGAGGATACGATGTTTATTAAATGAATTTAAGAAGTTTTAAAACATAAAAAATCAACTCTTTTTTTTCCTAAAATGTATTTTTGTGCGTAGCGTATTTTCATTATATCCTTAAAATTCTAATTTAGAATGTAATTGTCAAGAACTGAATCCTAATCATCAGTAATATAATAAGTAATTATTACGGTTATTAATAAATCCTTCTTATAAAGTAATTGCAAATATTTCAAAAACTTTCTGTCTGAATGCAAACATTTTTCTATGCAAATATTTTTAATTTTATATTAATCAAGATTGCACACCATATTACTTATTTCCACTTCAATTCTTACCGTCAGTTCTAGTAGAAGTTACAAATCAATTATATTTAATTAAGGATTGGATTGGATTATTTAATTATGGCAAAGCACACGAGGGCTATCTGCCTAAAGGGAGGGATGCCTTCGTGGAGGACTTTCTAAGGGAAACTGGCTCGTATACACGTTACACATGGGGAAAACCACGAAACCGCCCATGCGGCCAAGGCCGTTCGCGGGATTCGAAACTCGAACTGAACTACCAATGTTCAGCGTCTTTACTGCTCGGCCGTTGGTGGGCTATTTAATTAAGGAATGACCATCTAAGTTAAGAAACAGCGTACCGTAACAACATTCTATTATTGGTTCCGTATCTTTCATGTTACTCTCCCGATTGGCTAGCTACATGATTTTTAATGAGTATTCGGATTTTACTAGTAACTTCACTTGGAAATCGCGCTTAAACTAGGTTAGTTGGTTATTTGAACATAGAAAGAACATGGGAGCTATTTGATTAAGATGCTTTCATAGAGAGAATCTTTGTAAAGAGAACCTAAAAACTACGAAAACCAACCATGCAGCCTGGGTTAGACTTCGCAACAAACAATTAGTATTTAACAATTTTTTCTTCAAATGCTAGGCAACAGGATGAGGCTCCAATTAAAATCTCCAATTTAATATTTTATTTGTAAATATTTAAAATATTGTTGTATTCTTAGACACAAAAAGCAGAATTTAAGTTTTGTTAACTCGTTAGTAAACTACCAAGCCGTAGTCGCAAATGAATATTCAATTTCATTTGCAATTTGCAACTGTAATTGTA